ACGTGGAAGAACATGGAAGGATCGAGGCCAGTAATAGCACCGCTGTCCATGCTGGACACAGAAAGGAAGCCTTGGGCCACCTTGGTGGCAGCTTCCCTTCTCCTGCCCCCTGTCTGACTTTCTTCTTTCCCTCCTATCTCCCTTTCTTATCTTTTCTTCTCTCCCAATAATTCCAGCCTCCACTTCCTGCCAAATTTATAGACAGTGACTGACATTGGGGTGGGGTGCCCTTACTCCTGTGGGTGCCAGTTCCCGAGGGATAGAGCACAACCCTGGGTGATAAGATGGGGTTTCCCTAAGACCCTTCATTCCCTCCTCACATCAGGCGTAAGGCCTCATGCTGCAAGCTGGCCCTTTTGCCCCTCCTCCCCGACCCCCAGCCTCCAGGGACCCAGGTACCATGAAAGCAGCTCAAGGTCCTTCCCAAGGGCTTTCACCTACCTACATTGCTGTCTTTCTGCTTTTTACTGTTAGTTCCAAATGAAAGATACAGACACATGAGCAGCCACATACTAGAAAGAGCTGGTAGTCAGGAGTGGTGTCTGGCCCCTCCCAGGAGTGCACCTCTTCTTACCAGTCAACTCTCACTCCCTGGCAACTTACAGAACTTACCACGCCACACAAAGTCACCTTCTCTTTCTCTTCCTCTTCATCCTTCGTCTCTCGTCTTTGTGGTTTTTCCCTTTCACTTCCCCGTAGGTCCTTCAAAGCCTGGATCAACCTCATAGAGTCAAGTTGGTTTTGGGTCAGCATTAAGCGGTGCTAACTCGAGTTCGCAGAATTCATCAGGGTGAAAGGTTCCTTCTTGCTGGTGCTCCCGCTATCTCCGGCCCACCGGTCTGCCTGCTCCTGGGACTCATTCACGGACACTCTATAGTCCCTCATCATATCCAGGAGCCTCGCTACTCCAAGCAAAGGGTCGTCTCTTCCCACATGCGCTCCTGCTTTTTCTGCCACAGCCCCAGGCCTTTGGAATCCCTGATATCAGTGTGCTTGGGCTGTCCTGGCAAAGCATCACAGGTCTCACAGGTCTGAAGGCTGGAAGCCTGAAATCCAGGTGTCGGCACGTTGCTCCGCCTGAGGCCTCTCTCCTTGGCTTGCACTTGGCTGTCTTCTCCCCGTGTCCTCACATGGCCTTCTCTCTGTGTGCCTGTGTCTTAACCTCCTCCTCTTATAAGGACGCTGATCAGATTGGGTCATGGCCCATCCTGATGACCTTATTTTAATCTTCGCTACCTCTCGAAAGGTCCAATCTCCAAATACAGTCACATTCTGAGGCAGGAGGTGTTAGGATAGCAACATAAAATTTGGGGAGTTGGAGAATCACAATTCAGACCATAACAATTTCCTCCCCAATCTCCTTTTAGCTCATAAAAATGTATCCACAATTCCTTTTCCAGGTCAGATGTTTAAATTCAGTGCTTCCTGAATCCTGTCTCCAAATAGCCACAGCAATTGTCTGTAAAATGCATCTAGCATCCAGTGGTGCATTTTGCTGCGATCTTTCTGTCATTTTTAAAAATCTATAGTTTCTCCCTTTAAAATGTACTTTATACTATAGCTACATAGGGTCTATCTTCTCAACTAGATTAAAACTCGGGAGGGCAGAAACAGTCATACTGTTTTGTATGATCATAGCAATCCTCAGCACCTGGGTGGTCATATCTGAGACCCCGGACCCTCAGCGCAGGCAAAAAGAGAGGGGACAAAGAGGGACAAGATCCAAGCACTACTATAGGAAGGGGCTGGGAGAGCAGGTCCATGGGAGTTGGAAATACCAGGTGACCCACCAAGAAGGCTCAGGTAGATAACACCGGGCTTCTTAAAAGTCACAGTGAGATTCTCATCAGGGGCGCAGAGCACAGCAGTAGGGAATCTCATGTTAGTGCCATCTAGTCAGGCAGGCGTGGGACCTCACAGGAGACATCTACACCCAGGAAAACAGAATTCCATCACTGAATGAGACAAACCCTATCCCATGAGAGCCAGGCGAGACAGAGCATAATGGGATCAGTAACCAATGTCAGAACCTAGGCCTGGGAGATAGATGGGAGGCTGTGATCACCACAAGTCCACAATCTGGCGATGCGTGAGTGGTCTAGAGCTGTGGTCGGCAATCTGCAGCTCGCGAGCCACATGCAGCTCTTTGGCCCCTTGAGTGTGGCTCTTCCACAAAATACCACAGCCTGGACGAGTCTAGTTTGAAGAAGTGGCGTTAGAAGAAATTTAAGTTTAAAAAATTTGGTTCTCAAAAAGAATCGTACTATTGATATTTGGCTCTGTTGACTAATGAGTTTGCCGACCACTTGTCTAGAGTAAGATGGTACATCAGCTTCAGTCCAATCTAGAAATTAAAAGAAGTCATGTGACAAGGCAGGGCCTACAAAAGTATTAAGTGTATTGAGGCCAAAGCCATCCAAAAACAGGTTTGAATGAGTGTAGCAATGGTTTATTGATTTATAAAAAAATTAATAAATAAATAAAAAATACACACACAAACACACACACACACACACACACTCACACACACACACACACACACAGCAAAACTTGCCTTTTTTTCTCACTGGTCCTTTTGCTAAATCCAGCATTACCTTTCATAATGAAAAGATTTCAGCTCGGCAGCTTGGCTAATTAATGTCTCAAGGGTTGGGAGGCCTTGGCTTGGCCCATTGATCAAACGCTGACCATCGGGTTGAATGCTTCTCATCCAGTGCCACTCCCACCCAGGCCCTGTGTCAGAGCCGAGGGACTGTCATCGTAAAGAGCAGGGAAAGACGAAGCATTGACAGATGGGGAGGTGAGTGAGCAGCTTTAATTAAAAACAAAAATGCCCAAATCTAGTTTGCTAAGTAACAAGACTATTAAAAAATAACCTATGAAGTACTTTAAAGAGCAAACAAGCAAGTATGATAAGTATTTAAGTAACAACTTATTGTTAGCTTTCTATCTACATTTTTAAAGAGGGTAAACATTTATTAGGGAGCAATTACATTTTTAAAAAATGGGGTCCCATGCTTGCTTTTGTCATTAGACCCCCTGCCTCCCCCTTCTGAGCATCCCATTAAACCCTGTCACCTGAACTTCAGCACGTGAGTGCTGACATTCTGCAACAGAAATTTTGTTCCAGCTTTTCAAGCCTGAATCCAATGCTGACCTGCATCAGAGGTGCAGGAAGGACAATGGCTCATTTTTGTCTCCGGGGAATAAAGTCCCCAAAGCCCACTCTCCAGTATTGCCACACCTCTTTCACCGTGTGGCAGAGGAGGAAGCAGCGTGCTCCGGACAATGCCCTGTGATGAGGGGTCAAGTCCAAAGAGGGGAAATGACAGTGTTAGAGCATCTACTGTGTGTCAAGCCCTTTGCACATTTTATAAGGGGAAATGGGAGATTGTACAGTCACCAGTCACGTTACAAAGGAAAGACTTGCACAGGGAACCCATACAGTGATATGAGTGTGAGAAGAAGGAAGACAGGGACATCTGGAGGGAGTTAAGTGGAAAGTTGAGCCTTTGGCGTACCTACTCTGGGAGTTCACCTGTACTGGTCACCTGGCCTGCTGAACCCTTGGCCTGACCTTAATCAGCTCCACCCAGAGCCAGTGAGCAGAAGGGAACATGAGAGATCTTGTACATGGTGCTGTGGGAAGAGCAGTGGCCTAGAAGCCATATGGCCTGGGCCTCATTTCAGCCCCATCTTTGTGCCTAACTAAGTGACCCGGACAAGTCACCTGACTTCTCTTGGCCCCACTTTTCTCACCTTTGAAATACGGTAGGCAAATGTAATGGGGTAAAACATATGTAATCATAGCAGACCTCAATCTGCATTATAAGTCAAACATTATTCTAAATGAATTACCTTTGAGGTATCTTAAAGCACTGAAAATTCCACATACAGGAATGACAGAATAAGTCTGTTTCCTTTGTTCATTTTTCTAGTTCAGGTTGATAAATTTCCAAAAGTTGGTCAAGACACAAATTACTTTTTCATTAGAAAGGAATTACTAAATGGATGTTATGCCATTGCTTGGATGCTATTATTTTTAAATTTGGGGTGCTAGGCACCAAATTTTAATTCTCAGTTATTCCTTCTTCCCTCCCCCAACTCTGCTATTTTCTTTGAGTGGCAAATATCTCTGTCTGAACATTTGTTTTAATTCTTAAAAATCAAACTCACTGTGATACTTAGAAGCTTTCCACCAAGCTCTCTCTCTCAGAGAGCCCAGATCAAGGGTTCCCAGTGGTGGTGGTGGTTGACTTGACTACTCACTTGGCATATGAAGTATTTTGTTATCATGGTTGTCCCATCAAAGACTCTGCATAGAATGCTGTCATAAAGGTGTGTGTGTGTGTGTGTGTGTGTGTGTGTGTGTGTGTATGTTTGGAAAGAGAAGTAATTCTGACCATTGAAAAACACAAGAGCATCTGAAACAAAGCTTGGGTCTAAAATCATCTCAGGAAGTAGGCCTGAGCTACGCTTGGCCTGGGTAACTGTAGAAGTCAGTGTTTACAAGCTAAAACAGCAAATTCCTAGTCACAACCCATAGGCAGTTTTAATTTTAGCTGCAATTGAAACCCACATCATGAGAGCACCCGCTTCCAGTCTCGGCTCTAGTTTCTAGTGCTGTTGGTGAGAGCCCCAACATTTCGGTGGATCCCTTGAAATGACCTCCAGGACTCTTCTGGGCTGGTGGCTTGATAGGAAAGCCCATTGTGTGAGCTCTGCCCACCAGGACTCAGTCTGCCTGAGGCTGTCAGCCATACAGGGATCTGCCAAATGCTCTCTTGTGGTCTCTTGTGACTCAGAATCTCAAACTTGTTTTAAGTGGAGGGGGAAAGTTACTTTCAGGGATGGGGTTCTTGGCCCAACTCTGCTTTGTATAAACAGCCTATGTCTATTTCAGTCTTCTGGGTTTTGAGAAGCAACTGCTGAGTTGTGGCAAAGGGTGAACTGGTTGGTGTTGACCCAAATTAAAACAAAAGAGTTTTCCTTTCTTGCAGCGCTGGAAGAAGGGAGACGGCATCATCGCCTAGGGAACAGAATGTGACTGACCTGGCAATCAGGGAAGTGAGTGTGGGCCTCGATTTGCAAAGAACCAGCTCTACCAAAGTCTAAACTTGTAGAAATGGAGACGTTGTGCTTGGAGTAAGGATTTTTACTCTACGGAAGGATAACATTTGGGTCATGTTGATGCATGATGTTATGTATATGAAAACTATTGATGTGATTCATTACAGGTCATTCTGCCTTGATTTTTAAGGGACAGACAACCATTACATGAAGCCTGGTGTATGCCCACGGGTGCTGTCCTTACCACCCATCAAGGGGGGGTGTCCAACCCAGCCCCTTTCCTGCTACTCACTGTCAGGAGCCTATATGTCCACGTGGATGTACTTGTTTATCAAGCAATTCATCTAAGACACAGATCTAACATATTACTATTGTCAATGCTGGGACAATGGTGATTTAAGGAGTAACTGTGAATACAAATCATTTTGAGAGTCAGCTCCCCCCAGTTGCATCTTTTGTGTCCCTCAAGTTCTAGCATATTCACAGAAGTTGAAAAAAAAATCATGCTGCAAAACAAAATCACCTTCTGCCAAGGGAAGCCGCCATCACACACAGTGGGTCTTTCATTCATTTATCCATCTGTGTGATCAGTCAGGGCCCCTGGCACAGGTCCCGAGAGTGGAGGACAATGGTGGACACATGATCTTCATGACCAAGGCTCCTGTGGTCTGTGGAGAATGCAGACAAATCAATCGTTACAGCAGAGAGTGGGATGTGTGTCTTGTGGGAGTTTGGCGGAAGGCACCCACCAGCCTTGGAGTTAGCCTTCACAAAAATGGTGACCTCTGAGCTGGATCCTGAAGGACAGAGTGGAGTGGACAGAAGTAGCTGTTCCAATCAAGGAAGGAGTGACCCTTTGGCATGTGCTAATTTTGCCTCTTCCTCCTCCTCCGTTCTGTTAGGGCACATGGAAATCTGTCTTGCTTAACGTGATGGGCACTTGGCTTTGCAAACCTCATCCCTCAAGTTCTCTTCAGACCAACCACACCTGCTTTCCTCTTCACTCTTTTGTCTTGTTTTATTTTGTTTTATTGTGTTGTGTTTTTGTTTTGTTTTGATTTGTTTTGTTTTGTTTTCCAATGAAGAATCAAGGATGAGCCAATAAATATAAGTCCAGGGATTTTCCTGATAAAGCTCCCATGTTCAGCTTGGCTGAACACAGAAATGTCTATTTCTTTCTCATCGGGCAAAAAACATTTGCTTCAACAAAAAATGGCTGACTCATAAGAACAAATAAATGTTTTGGAAGTCTTAATACTCAAATCTTATGTGATACTACTGAACATTTTTTAAAATTGAGAAATTGTTTTTAACGAGAAAACATTGTACAGTAAGCTTTAAAAATAAATAAGCAAATAAAATAAGGGGGAAGGGAAGTCTTGAGACCTCTGAAGTCTTGAGACTAAAAGACACAGAATATTTAACAAATAAGACAAAGGCCATTCCTGAAAAAAAGTCAAGAGATCCAGTTTGAAAGTCAGAGGGGGGAGGGGGGAAGAAAGGAGAGAGAGAAAGAGAGAGAGAGAGAGAGTGAGAGAGAGAGAGAGAGAATTTTCCCTACAAAAAAATCTAGAAAGTAATTGGATCGTTCCAGTACCCCAAAGGCTAGCTGGCACATCGTCCATCACTGAAGGGTCAGAATCTTTGCTGTTAGGATGCAGTATGAGCAAAGGCTGCCTGGGAGTTTATCACAGCTCCAATGCAGCAGACGTGGTGGGAGAAACAGAAACAAAAGTGAGGACCTTGGTGTTGCTCCTTATATTATACAGCAATCAACCAGCAGTCAGGAAGGATGTGGCTTGCTGGGGCTAATAAAAACAAATTTGGAAGCTTGTTTGGTCTTTGAAATTAAAACCGTATTTTAGTAAATACAGCTGATGCCATTTGAACACAAACCCTGTGACATTGCCTGGCTTACTGCAGCTTTTCTGTTTGTCTCTCCATTAGATCTGTTCAAAATAGGAACGTGGCATTTCCACGTTTGCAGAAAAGCAAATGTGAGCTGACTGGCCAAGTTTAGCTGTTATGGTTTTCCTAGAACCCTTACGATTGCTGTGATAAATAAGATCCTTGTAACTTACAATTTCTAACTATACCATGTTTGTGATCTATGCCCTCCTCCAGGTTCTGGTACTTGGTCAGTTGAGTTGATCTTACCCCTGTTCCCTCCATGTTACAGAGTTTAACTGTATCATGCTGAGAGTTTGGTATGTGCTTCATGCTGAAAGAAGAATATTCTCCTGTGTCAGATAAATATTTTCATGTGTGAGAATTGCTATACTTGAATTTGCTGCAGCATTTTGCATTGACGCATATATATGACATCCAGGCTGACTCAATGGCTTCTAAAACATTTAATGTCTCTTACATGGACTCAATATCCTTGGAATGTGCTGTTTAAACATTTCTGAATTTTCTACATGCCATTTTTACAGGTCCATTTGTTTTATGATGTGATGTGGTAAAGAATCAATCACTTTCGTTGTGTGTGTGTGTCTGAAGAAAATAAATGTATATATTACTAAGAAGAAGAATAAATTATTGAAAAATATACTTGATGGATCATGCAGCCCACTGTTGAAAAGGAATTTATTTTATTTCTTTAATAAAGTGATTGTTCAAATTATAAGCATTTATATTGTCCTTCTAAATATGGATGCTGTAATATTTAAGTGTTGTTCAATCCTGATGTATGTTCAACATTGATGTATGTTCAACATTGATGTATGTTCTCTAATAAAATATTTTAAACCTCTTTCTTTAATCACAATCTATTGTTAATATATGTCTGTTAAAAGTGGAGTGGCAGCTAAATGGGGTAGGTTGTACATAAGATATTCAAGTTGGCAGCATTCAGGTTTCAGGTAAGAGCCAAAATACTATTGCATTGTCAGGTTTAGAGTCAGAAGACAGTGATAATGGAACTCAAGCACACAAAAATGATGAATGTGTTCAAGGCTAAATTAAGTGACTCAGAACCAAAGCAATAGGTTAGGGCAGTGGTCAGCAAACTCATTAGTCAACAGAGCCAAATATCAACAATACAATGATTGAAATTTCTTTTGAGAGCCAAAAACCGACTTCTGTGCATGGGCCACAAAGTTTCAATAACACTGTATGTGCGTGCCCACACGTAGTATTTTGTGGAAGAGCCACACTAAAGGGGCCAAAGAGCCGCATGTGGCTTGCAAGCCGCAGTTTGCTGACCACTGAGTTAGGGGAACTAGTGGCCAAAGAAGGTAACACAGTTCAAGGGGAGTTTTTCTAAGAAGATTCTGGTCTGATCATGGCCTCAGCACCACCCCTTTAGCACATTCCCTCAATGGGACTTCTTGGAAGTGTGGTGTCGTCATTGGGGACAAGACCACTGGCGTCAAATTGTCACACGTTCCAAATTCTCTCAACCATTCACCACCGAGGTGATCTCAACACAGAGATTCCAGACTCCTAAAGTTTAGCTCTTCTAAAAAATAAGGACATTAACTATACGTCATTGAAAGGGTTGCTGAGATAATAAAATGAAACAAAGCATGTAAAGTGTTTAGAAAAGTGCCTGATTTCTAGTTAGCACTCAGCAATTACAGGTTGTTCATTTTCTTATTGATCTTGCTGGTTTGGTTGTGGCTGTCATTTTAGGTACTCCCAAAGATAACCATTACTTTTATGGTGATGAAGAATCATTATTTTTTACTCAAAGCCCTTAGTATTCTAAGTAAATAATAACATCACATCTATACTGATTTGGGTTTTGACAAATGATGTCATGTCCTGTATGTTCTCTAATAAAATAGAGTGCTCAGCTGGTCATAATCCAGGATCCCCATGGAGTGGCAGGCAGATGGAGGATGGGAGGGAATCCTAAGATACAAAGAAGTTTGTAATTGTCCAGCCTTTGTTTTCATAGAGCTTGAAAGTGATAAACCTAATTTTCAGACTAATATTATTGGTTTATCTGTTGAACTCTCATTTTAATGTACTTTTTTCTTCAGGTTATAGACTCTGAAAGAAAGAGAAAGTGGAGATATTGTTAATGTTAACACTCATTGGTTCCTATGAAGGTACAAAAATTATTTAAAATATGGCCATAATGATGTTAGGGCCACGTCTTTGCTGTGCATTCTACTGTGAGTAGTGCTGTGGAAAACCCCATTTTAACTAGTTCAATTGCATCATCTCATTTAATCTTCACCATCCTATAAGTGCTAAGAATCAAATTAGGGTGCATTTGGCTGGAAGCAACAGAACGCCCGTTCAAAAGTGGATTACATAGACAATTTGTAACACTATCCTATATAATAAAAGGCTAATATGCAAATAGACTGAATGGCGGAACAACCAGAACAACCAAACAACCAAACTATGATGTGCGCTGACCACCGGGGGCTTGTGTGGAACATGGCAGGTGTCATCCATAGCAGGATGGTAGAGCAGATGAGTGGGGGCACCAGACCAAGGTGGGGTGCTAGTCACTGTCATCGGGGCAAACCTCTGGTGGTTACTGAAAATTCTTTGCACCGGAGCTGCTGCTTGCACCCACGCTGATGCCCAGCACCAGCCCTGATCACTCGGCATCATCAGCAGGTGCAAGTGGCTGCTGCCGGCCCTGTTTGCACCCTAGGGCTTCTCCACCTCCCCCTGCTCCTGAGGGGCAATCAGGACCAGCAGCCAGGGCTCACACCTGCTGATGGCACTGGCCCCACTTGCACCCGCTGCTGGTGCCAGTTTTAATTGCTCTGCACTGTCAGCAGGTGTGAGCGGGGCTGGCACTGTCAACGCATGGGAGCAGTGGGAGTAGGAGTGGGGCTTCCAGCAGAGAGGGGACTGGGGGCTGTGGCGGGAGGGGCAGGGCGGGGATGTGTAGGATGGACCAAGCCCCGGCCCCCTGGGCCTATCGCAGCCTCGTGGCCCACAGTTCCTTTCAAGGTGCATGAATTCATGCACTGGGCCCCTAGTTATCAATATTTTTACATGAAAACCTTTATTTTTGCCAAATGCCCTGCAATCAATCTACCTGGGTTTGAATCCTATTCTATGAGGTGCCAGTAACACACAAATAAACATTAAAAAAAAACAACAAAAAAAAACACAGAATTTGCAAATTTGTCAATTCCTGTGGTATAAATTCTCTGACAGTAACACACATCAAGCTGCCAACCTGATGTCATTGAACATGTGTTGCAGAGAAATATACACAATCATGTTTCTGGGTCCTGTATGAGCCAACGTCAACACCCCACTCCTGCCACTCAGTAGCATGCAGCCTAACACTACTTGTATGTTAATTTCCTTATCTGTAAAATGAGATAATAGTTGTACCTTCTTCATTGGAATAATTCATGTAAAGAAGTCCTATGCTTTATTCACTCATTAGCAATGGATGCTTGTTATCATAGTTATTGTTAGATATTGCCAATAGAGGCACAAAGCAGAAACCATTTGAGAATAGAAAAGAGTTCATCCTTCCTTACTCAATTTCTAGAACAACTTTTCTAATTGTGATCCTTCTTCAGACATTGTACAGCACGACTCCCCATCCCCACCCAAAATGAGTTTGTTAGTCTCTGTTTTAGATTCCAAAATTTTTCGGAAAATTCTATTTTGATGCATTTTTGCTTTAACTGAAAGTACTTACTGATTTTATGAACCAGTTTTCTCAAAGAGCTTCTTAACGCCAAATCATTCTGCCAGCCTATTATTATCTCTCCTGTTTATAAATGCAAAAGCCTCCAGCAGAGTTTATGAAAAATAATTATTCTGTTGTGTAGGTGGATGGAAAAACCACTACCCCCTTGCTCATTCCTCACTTTGTTCCTATGTTCTAATCCATACCCTCCTTTCAAAGATAATACAAGCACATATTAAACTAACTAAATAAAAGTGCCTCAGCATCTGGGGTTGGGTGAGTTTTTGGGTCCTGAGTGACACCACACCCACTCTGCAGTTCTCTTCTGTGGGAACACTATTCATCCTATATAATAAAAGGCTAATATGCAAGTTGGACTGACCAGCGGAACAGGTGATCAATATGATGTGCACTGACCACTAGGGGGCAGAAGCCCAACAGAGGAGCTGCCCCCTGATGGTCAGTGCACTCCCACAGGAGGAGCACCACTCAGCCAGAAGCTGGGCTCACAGCTGGTGAGCTTCTCCTGCCTCTGTGGCACTAATGATGTGGGGAGCAGGCCTAAGCTTGCAGTCAGACATCCCCCAAGGGCTCCCAGACTGTGAGAGGGCACAGGCCGAGCTGAGGGACACCTCCCTCCAGTGCACTAATTTCGTGCACTGGGCCTCTAGTAAAAAGATAAGAGCCAATGGGAAGGAACACAATGTTTATTAATTCCCAGAATAGCTCTAGTCCACTCTAGGTTTCTTACACCTACTTAATTGATTCAAAAATGTCCAGGTTTGAGAAGTAAGGCACTGGTAGGAAAACTGACACTGAAGCATAAGTATGGCCACATGTGCTTCTGCAAGCAAGGCCAAGGTCATAAGGTAGTGGGGTGGGGTATGGGTGGGAAAGAATAAGATCCTGCCCACTGAGGATGCAAGGCCCAAGAACAACCAGCAAGAACAGTCAGTTCTCAGTTTTGCTGGTAGGAGGCAGGGGAGAAGTTTTAAAGACAAAGGACAACAGTGAAACAAGAGCAATTTCTTCTCTGTGGGAGAAAGCACAAGTACAGGATAGAAGCAGACATTCTTCCCACCCTCCCCACATAAGTACCATATGTGGGTATAAGTTAGAAATTAATAATTCCACCCATGTTATCACAAATTACACGATTTTGTTCTCTTTATGGTCCAGTAATATCCCATTGTACCACAGCTTTTTTATTCATTCATCTATTAATGGACACTTGGTTTACTTTCATATCTTGGCTATCATACATAATGTTGCAATGAACATGAGGATGCATATGTTCTTTCAAATTAGTGTTTTGGGGTGTTTTTTTTGTTTGTTTGTTTTGTTTTTTTTCAGGTATATAGTGAAGTAAACCAGACAGAAAAACAGAGGCATGAGATATCACTCATATATGGGATTTTAAAAAAATTAATGAACAAACAAAATAAAAATGGACTTATAGACACAGAGAACAAACTGGTGGGTGCTAGAGGGAAGGAGTGTTGGGGGGTAGGATGAAAAAGCTGAAGGATTGTAGAAGTACTAATTGGTAGTTACAAAATGTGCATGGGTTCTAAGGTAAAGCGTATGGAATATAGTCAACAATATTTTAATGACTATGGTTCCAGATGAGCCCTTGAATTTTCTGAGGGAACACACTGTAAAGAGTGTTTATAAAAATAGAATGAGCCAGATATTCTGATTGGTTACATTAGATGCATTTTTAAATATATATATATATTTTATTGATTTTAGAGAGGAAGGGACAGCGAGAGAGATAGAAACATCAATGATGAGAGAGAATCATTGATTGGCTGCCTCCTGCATGCCCTCCACTGGGGATCAAGCCTGCAACCTGACCATGTGCCCTTTGCTGGAATAGAACCTGGGACTCTTCAGTCTGCAGGCTAATGCTCTCTCCATTGAGCTAAACCAGCTAGGAAAAGATGCATTTTTATAGCTCAGTAATTGAGCAATTGGTCAACCCCTGATTATCATAGGACTCTGAGGTTTTGCCTTACTTACACTTCACAACATTAATAAAGCAATGTCCAGTCTCCTGCCCTCTGGGAAGTTATAGTTTGATATAAAGAGTGCCACCAATACACTCTGTGAGCTTATTTTAGAGCTTACAG